GTATCTATCTACCAGTAGCTGCCTCATTTCCCACCCTCGGCTTATATTCGGGTCAATACTTTTTCCCAGTTTTTTTGGCTAAAATTAGGTACCTCGGCTTATATTCGGGACGGCTTATACTCGAGTATATACGGTAGATAAAGTATATATACAAAGATTGACTCAAGGACAAGGTCCCATTCATGAAGGTGACCCTATTGCACTGCACTAACGTATACAGTAAAATAAAGGGACATAAGAACCAATTACTAGAAGGATTTGTGTCATTATGATGATGTCATGCCTTGCCTTGCATGTATATGTGGATGGATTCTGTTCTGACATGGTTGATACCTGGTACTGAAGCGTGCCCAGTGTATTAACACAAAGTGATAGTGTTGCAACGCTCTGGTTCCTAATAGATACAGCTGAGAGTGAAAATAGATCGATTTAGCAGTGACTGTGTGGAAAAGGCATCATGGTTATCTGTTACTGTCTCCACACATGTCCAGTGAAAGGAACCATGAGTGCTTACCTCACAAGCAACAAAGCAGATAGTGGGCAGGCAAAGTCATGGACAATAGCATTGGTGCAGGGTCAGCCAATTACAGAACTACACCTGGCAATTAGTGGAACACATGCAAGCATACATTCTTTTTTTTTTTTAATGTAACTTTTTACGCTATTGGGTATTCTTTGCAAAGTGAATTTTCACCACAATCACTATGGTAATTGAACATTCCCCTGCAAAAGGAACACACTTTAGTTCTTTGGTTAATCAGCCACAAGAACACTTCACTATATCCAATATTAAAACAAGGCAGGGGGTCCTCTGCATCATCTCCCTTCCCAGAGATCCCGCACAGCCCTGGGGAGACACCACACACAGCCATGGTGAGAACCGACACAGCCTCCTGAGACCCAGCACAGCACTTCTGAGACCCTGCAAAACCCCCTGTGACCCCACACAGCCCACCTGAAACCCCACAGAGCCCACCTGAGACCCCACACAGCACACCTGAGATCTTCCACAGTCCACCTAAACCTCTCCACAGCCCTCCTGAGATCCTCCGCTGAAGACATCAAGCTGGCACCCCATGGCAACACAGAGTATGTAGCTTCATATTATTCTGCAGTGCTGTATAATGTATTGCTGAGATTTGTAGTCCTCTTTAGCCGGTTTCCATTCAGCATTGCTGTATAATGTATCACTGAGATTGGTAGTCCTCCATAGCTGTTTGCCATTCGGCGTTGCTGTATAATGTATCATTTGGACTTGTAGTCCTTTATAGCTGATGGTATACTGCATTGCTGTATAATGTATTGCTGGGAATTGTAGTCCTCTATAGCTAGTTCCATTCTGCATCACTCTATAAAGTATTACTAGGATTTGTAGTCCCTCTACAGCTTGGACCTTATTTTCTGGCAGTGCACCTCCCGAGACTAGACTCTGGATCCACCCCCGATGTAAACGTGGTGGGTGAAAACGGCCATTGTGCCACAAATGTTAGGTATCACCGCACACACCAGAGTGGGAGCCATACTTCTAGGGCCTTTATTCACAGATAACTCTAAACTGGTGACCTGTTAAGGCTTTTAAAGGAGAACTATGGGGTCAGGGCTTTTCCCCATAGTTCTCCTTAGGGTAACGGGAGGACATAAACTAGCGTCCTCCCGTCACCCTAGGCTCAGTATACCGTGAGCTACAGCTATACTGAGACGCCGCAGCCGGAGCGGATCCCGACATGGACGTCGGGATCTGCCCAGCTGCGTGAGTGACAGCTGGCTCTGCCTATCTAGAGGCAGAGCCAGCTGTACCCGCCCCCTCCCCCGTCCGTTCCGCCAGTCAGCGCTGGCGGATCGGAGCGGGGAGAGGGGAATCCAGCCCCTCCCCTGTCACGGCAGAGAGCCGTGACAGGATCGAGAGGTGAGCGAACCGCCTAAGATACTGAAGGTTATGTAGGTTACAGGTTTGTAGGTTGCAGAATTGTTGATGATTATGTTTAGTCAGAGCCGTAGCTAGCTCCTTTTGCGCTCGAGGCAAGAATGGAAAATTGTGCCCACCAACAGAAGTGATTTGTTTCTGAAGATACGGGGAAACAACGCAATTTAACAGCCTAATTTGTCTATTTACCCGACGTGACCCCGTCTTTTTATACCGTGGACATCCCATAATGTTCGGCGTTCGGCGAACGCTAGAACATGCTATATTCGAGTCCAACATAGGTTCGACTCGAACGTGCAGCCCATCCCTACTCAGCGGACACTGAACAGCCTTATCACTGAAACATTAATCACCATCCAGGTCGGGTCACATAACTTCTTGCAGCTGCCCGATGTGATGGAGAGCACACAGAGTGCTGATCAGCCCGGCTCACCTCAGTATGCTGTTTACATACGTGAAGGAGGAATGTCCAGGAGGCGTCCATGAACATCATGTCATTCCTTTTAGTATGCCCCCTTCTAAAGAGCTGAGATCGGGAGCACTATCCAGCTCACGCTGGCAGGAAGGAGGGGAGGGGTCAAGCACTCGGAGGTGCTCTGTATTACTGGGTCGGAAGACGGCCGAAGAAATGTTTGTAAAAGTTCTCGTCCTCACCGGGCCCCCCTCTGCTCGGGCCCCCTAGCGGCCGTGTGGGTTGCTATGGCGGTAGTTCCGCCATTGCATATGTCGGTGAATTCATTATATCATTAAATTGAGTAATATTTGGTGGTGTTTCCTTTTCTTTTTTTTCCCTTTTCCTTCTCCATGAACATATATTTGATTTGGGGGACTATTGTAAGGAGGGTGTTGTCATGGCGGATAAGATGGGAAAAAGTAGGGGAACCCGAAGAGAAGGGAAAGGAGGGGGGGACAAAAGAAAGGGACTCAGTGAACATAAAAAAAGAGAACAGGGGATGAACAAAGACAAGAGAAGAGTGAGTGACTAGCAAAGGATGTTTGTGACAAATGACCATGACGGTTGGGTTTGATGTACATTGCAATTCCTACTCATACTTTTTTAGGTATTATTATACATTCCGTAATCAGTAATGACCAAAGTATGCAGAGAAGAAAAAAAGTAACAGAAAAGAGGGAACAAACAAGCTAAGTGAAAGGTAAGAAGAAGTTCCCCCCCTGCTAGGGGCCAAAAAAAGGAGAACATGTTATCTTAAAGTATGGTAATGTGTTCTTCAGTTGAAACAAATTGTTCCCAATAAAACTAAGTTCCAGCGCAAAGGTCAGACCCGTGGTAGAGGGCTGAGGTGATTGTTCTTTTCAATGGTCATCTGTTCCTGGCCTCCCACAGCCAGGGCCGGATTATGAGCATCATGGGCCTGGTGCTGAGGATTTTGTTGGGCTGTTTCAAAATGAACTGACCAGACACTGAACTCTCTGCTCTACCGGCGCGCGCCCCCTTAGCACTCAGCACTGTTGGTCAGTCGGAAGGGAAGCACATAGTTGCCAACATTTCAAAAATATTTCCAGGGACACCTCTTTTTGCTGTGCATCCAGCAAGCCATTGCGGGTGGAGAATGTACTTTAATTAGGGTCGGGCCATTTATTTAAAATGGGCGTGGTTCCACAAAAGGCATCAGGAGGAAGTAACGCAGAGTGTAGGGGTCAGGAGTATTTAACACAAAGTGTAGAGGTCAGGAGTAAGTAATGCAGACTGCAGGGGTCAGTAGTAACACAGAGTGCAGGGGTCAGGAGTAACGCAGAGTGCAGGGGTCAAATCTGGGTCTTTACTGTTTGCATATGGAGCTGACTATTCTGTATGGAGGACTGGGGCCCCTCTCAGCAGTGTTCTGTCCTGTCTTGGGTACATGTCAGTGGTGGAAGGAGAAGTGTGCGCATTGTTTAGAGCTGCTGTTACTGACCCTGGGATTGGAAGTGACCTCTGATTGGTTGCTTGAAGACCATCAGTGCACTAGTGTGTGCCTAGTCCAGTGGCGTATCCAGAGCATGGCACATGTGGCACATGCCCTGGCTGCCACTTGAAGGATGAAAACAGATGATCACACATATAGTTTATTCAAACCTTACTTGATATTATTGGTTTGTTGTCACATATTGTCAGAAATGCTAACGTTTCAGGGCCACGCAGGGACCCTTCATCAGGGCCAAATATTGACAATGGTAACACCATAAAGTGCACATATATAGTGCTGCTGGTGACTTTTTCTATTTTCTTTTTTTATTTCAAGATTGCACAGCACCATCCGGTCAGCCGCGATCCATGCATTGTGTTGTTGTCCTCCAATTGGACAAATCTGCAAATATTTAGGAGGAGGAACTTTTTTTTACTCATTGATTAGAGACGATGATTCATTTCTAGTTCCCAGAAATAAAGTGATGTAAATGTTAACTATAAGCAATGATTATTTTTCCTCCTTTCACCCAAAACTGTTGCCCATCCAGCTCTCTTATATCTCCTCTCCTCCATCTCCTCTCCCCTATCTCCTCTTCTCTCCTCCACCTCCTATATCTCCTCTCCTCTGTCTCTTCTCCTCTCTTCCATCTCCTCTCATCCATCTCAACTTCACTCCACTATCTCCTCTCCTCCTCCTCTGCTGTACCTCCTCTCCTCTATCTCCTTTTCTCTATCTCTTTTCCTCTCTCTCCTGTCCCCCACCTCCTCTCCTGCATCTCCTGCACCTCCATCTCATCTACGCTATATCCTGCCCTCCATCTGCTGTGCTCCATCACCTGTGCTCCATCTCCATGTGAGCGCCGCATGTGCAGCAAAGGCCAATGAGGAGGATATACGGCGATAGTTACAGCTTAAAGTGACACTAAACTAAGGAGTTAAATCTTAGAAATACGTTCAGGTACCCTCACTAGTAACAACAATGTATCTTATTTGTGTATCACTGGCCTGTAGATCCTCCAATCATCTCAGAATTGGTGCCGACACAATGCTGTAGTATGCCCAGTGTCCACAACTAGTTAGAATGTCTAGTTGCAGCCTGTCCCTTCCCAGTGCTAAGGATTCTCAAGTTTTATATATATTTTGTTGTTTTTTTTAAATCTCTTGCAGCGTTCTTGCTTTTAGTTATGACCAACTTAATAATAAAAATCCCTCCTTTTTCTTTTTTTTTTGTATGTTGAGATCACTTCTGATCATTATGACAGAACTTAATTTTCCAACAAAGAAGAATATTTGCCAGTCGTAATTTACCGGTTTATGAACGCAGTGCCGTCATTGGCCGCGTACTAGTCCTCATTCTTCTGATAAGAGGCTGTGATTGGCTGAGGTTCATGGCTCACCATGGGCTCGTCCAATCCCTGTCCAGTCCTGCTGTCCCTTGACACCTCTTCCTCTTGTTTTGCAGTCAAAGTGGATGCAGAAGTGCTCGCCTGGGTCGGATCCAACGTGACCCTGAGGTGCAGCGTCGAGACTTCAGGCACCAACATCACGCAAGTCACCTGGCAGAGGATCGAGAACGGGCAAAACAAGAACTTTCTCACCTACAGCAATTCTAAGTTGCTGAAGCTGACCCCATTTGCGGAGCAGAGGGTGAAGTTCCTGGGGGACGGATATAAAAACGGATCGATTGAGATAATAAATGTGGAGCTGAGCGACGAGAGGACCTACACTTGTACCTTCACCCTTTTCCCGACTGGAGCTGCTGACAATACCATCTCTTTTATTACACAAGGTGAGTGCCGCGTGGACATTGTAGCATTGTCGGCCTTCCTCTAGATGCCAAATGATCGGTCAGAATGAATTTTATAGAATGATTGCTACAGGTTCCCTAGATATTTGTAGAAAGGGAATGATGAGACCTTAGATCAGGCCCTCCAGCTGTGGTGCAACTACAAGTCCCATGGCAAGACTCTGACAGACACAGGCATGACTCGCAGAGGCAGAGCACCACCCAGCTCAGAAGTCATATTGGGAACAGAGATGGTTCATTTAGAGCAGGAGTAGCCCCATGTCATCCTTCCAGCTGCTGAGGAACTACAAGTCCCATGAGGCATTGCAAGACTAACAGCCACAACCATGACTCGCAGAGGCAGAGCCCCACCCAGCTCAGAAGTCATATTGGGAACAGAGATGGTTCATTTAGAGCAGCGGTAGCCCCATTTCAGCCCTCCAGCTGCTGAGGAGATACAAGTCCCATGAGGCATTGCAAGACTGACAGCCACAGGCATGACTCGCAGAGGGGTTTGTAGTTTCGCTGCAGCTAGAGGGGCGGAGTATGCCTACTCCTGCCTCATAGTATAGTACCCAGGAGTCCGTTACATAGTCGCCATGTACAGAAATCACTCATTTATAAATGATAGCACACACGCATAGACATGAAGGAATACAGCCAGTTGTTGCGTTGGCCAGAATACATTGCGTAGTGTTTGACAGATAATATTTTGTAATCTTTGCGGGCAACTTGTTTAGCTGCTGAGATCAATCTGTAAAAAAAATAAACAAGTCAAGGCAACTGGACTTGCTGGGTTTTGTGGTTTTTTTTTTTTTCTTGAAGACGTTTTACTGGTCATCAGACCAGTTTTCTCAATTCAGAATGACTTGAATCATTCTGAATTGTGAAAGCTGGTTGGATGTCCAGTGAAATGTCTTCAAGACAAATACAGCAAGTCCAGTTGCCTTGACTTATTTTTTTTACAGATATACCATGACCTGGATGGATGAGAACCTTCACAGACCTATGCTTAGATCGACCTTCATCAAGACCAACAGTGGAAGTGTTATAGGATGAGCGGATTATCCCGTACATGTTGTAATGGTTTGGACATTAAATTGAGAGCACCATACGTATTGTGCATTCCCATGTACAGCAGGGCTCAGATTGGGGGCGGGGGGGGGAAGCAGCACAAGGGATATAATAGAATACGAACAGACCGCACTTCCAAAAAGTTCCAATACTTCAGGCCTTTATTGAAATCCACAGCAAATCCATAATAACAGCGTGTAATCTAATAAACTAGGGATAGGTAATTGGTATTGGCGAGAGACTCGCCGATACCAATTACCGAGTACCGGAAGTCCCATTCAGGAAGCCAGGTGGAGTGTAATGACTCGCCACCTAACTTCCTGATTAGCCGGGCAGCGTGTAAAGACTCGCTACCCGGCTTCCCGACTAACAAGAAAGCAATCCCCATGCTTCTCGTCACTATGTGACAAGACAGCATGGAGCCGGCCTGCTGGCCAATCATGGAAGCCGGGCGCCGTGTAATGAGATGACGAGGGAGCGTGAAGCTGGCTTCCTGGCCAATCGGACTGCAGGGCACTGCGTCAATACACGGTGCCCGGCTTCCTTATTGGCCGGGAAGTCGGCTCCATGCTCTTTTATCACAAGTGACGAGAGAGCATGGAGCAGCTTCCCGGCCAATCAGGAAGCCGGGCACCGTGTAATGACGCGCTTCCCGGCTTCCTGATACAGGAAGTATTCGGCTAGGCATCGGAGCATTTGGGTGAGTACTCGTACTTGCCCAAATACTCGGTATCGGCACCGATATCTATACTAGTATCGGTACCGGTGCGCCTAGTTCTGATCACAATGACTTGACCCCCATTGCAAATCAGGTATTTTTGGCAAAATCTACAGACTTTCAGCTGTTGGCAATGAACAGATCAAACAAAAACAACTGAAATAGGTCAACGGAATGTTTCATGAAGTTTCCACAATTTCTACTGAAAACACAACCTTTTAATGACGTCTGCAGTCTCAACATTTTTTTTCTTCCACCCCCTGAATCAGGGGCTGAGTGGCAACTTTTAGCCCAGGGGGCAAGTACAACGCAGAGGCCCATGGTGCAGCGACTTGGCCCCCCTCATGCTCTGCCTCTTCCCCGGCTTCTCCCCGCCCCTGTCTGTCACTTTTGCCGTCTATGTAACAGTAGTAGAGCTGCAGCTAACGATTATTTTCAAAATCGATTAGTTAGCCGATTATTAAGTTCGATTAATCGGTTAATCGGATAAACAATAAAAAAAAATTAAAAATGGCTCCAGTGATGGGACTACTAGTTTGTATTGAGATTGTAGTCCATCACAGGAGCAAGCTTGGAGCGGTGGAAAAAAATAGTGTGGTGTGCAATATAGTGAAAAGGAAAGTGTAAAATTATACAGCAATGAATGCAGAATTGCACCGGCTATAGAGGACTACAAATCCCAGCAATAGTACATTATACAGCACAATGCAGAATATCACCAGCTATAGAGGACTACAACAAATCCCAGCAATAGTACATTATAGCTGGTGGTATTCTGCATTGCGCTGTATAATGTACTATTGGTTGGATTTGTAGTCCTCTATACAGTGCAGTGCAGAATATCACCAGCTATATAGGAATACAACAAATCCCAGCAATACATTATACATACAGTGTATAATGTATTGCTGGATGTGTATTCCTATGTATAATATACAGCAGAATGTACCATAAGCTATAGAGGAATACAAATCC